ATATATATAATAAAAAAAATATATATATATATATATATATATATATATATATATATATATATATAGAGAGAGAGAGAGAGAGAGAGAGAGAGAGAGAAAGTGAGAAAGTGTGAGCCTGAGAGATTGATTGTTTGTGGTGCAATAGAATGTGAGAAAGAGGCGGACAAAATGTGGGAAAGAATTATAAAAAAGGAGCATATAACAAGTATGTAACTAACTGTTAATATTATTAATTAATGCAATAAATCATATGGTTGAACATGTTTATATAATTGTATACCGATTAGTATTTTCATTTATTAATAAATACACTTGATTATGTCTCGTTTGAGTTGTTCTTATATTGTGATCGTAACGCGCTTCATTATAAGTTGAAATATATATGTATTTGAAGTGTTGGTATGACGCCTTCATGCCGCAACCCATCAGCCATCGTTGAAGTTGCAAATAGTTACAGAACTCTGTTCGATAATTGACTTAAAATTGAATAGACTGGACATTTAATGGGATTTCGTGTCTCAGGATTTGAAATATCGACTAAGAAAAGAATCACTGGTTTTTTTGGCACCCTCTACCCTTAAATAACGGTGAATTGGTGAACTTTATCATATACGATGTATATGATTATTGTAAAATAGTACAAATTTGTTAAATAGAATCACAGAGTAACTAGTCCGGATATCGCAGATGAGTTTGGATGTCCGTACCGAATATCCACTGTTTTCTCGTGTCTTATGTTTTGAGGAATTAAAAATGAGTTAAAAGTGAATTGAAAGTGAAATTGTTGACTGTGTTCAAACACTTACATTGCTGAAGAGAGTTTGAGAAGTAAAAGCATCAGCACATGTGCAGCAGATGTCCAGCAGCGTCGAATACGATACTTGGTGGTACTACTAATCCGTTAAACAAAAATATTTATTTCAATGTTTGAAATTAATCATTATATCGTTTTCGAATATTGTTTTCTCTTTTCAACAAATTGGTAAAATTCAATACAATTGTAAATCGTGACTCGTGTGATAAATATATGAAACAATACTGATTTACAATATACTATAATGAGACCCTTGCGTAGTCACCTCCACGTGATGGATCTTGGTAATTGGTAATTGTTTTCCAAATATTAACTCTAGGAAAATTATTTGAAAAGAGAACCAAATTTCAATTTCTCCAAATATTATTATTTGTAAAGCAATATCAAGCTAAGTACTACGCAACCTACAGTCTAGTCTAGACCTTGCAAATTTCCTTTCTTTTTTTATTTCACAATCTAGACTGTACTGTAGGAACAATTAGTTAATAAGTAAATTATTAGACTCGGATCTAATTATTCTGAGAGACGTTGTAGGATCTTGCAGAGACATTGTGTGATGCGTGCGTTTTAATTTTATGTTATGTGCGTTTAATTTTAGTTAATTCTACTAAGCACATTCAATAGAATGATATAGCTTATCGCTATAACATATGTGAAACAACTTTTATTTTTTCTTTAAACGTGTCAAATATTTTAAACCAAGTATAACTTAGTTATAATTATTTTCAATTTGAACTTTGATTTGTATTTTAATATATTGTGCTTTGGTTTACTTTTCATTGGTTTTCTCTTTTGCTGTTCGTTTGCACAACGATAAGGAAGCATAAGAAATTGCGAACATTCTGCAATCGTATATCAAAAGGAGTTTCCTTTTGTTTTTTCTGGTTGTTCAATAAATTTGTTTTAAAGCAAAAGAAGAGTGGATGGCACAAGGATGGGTTTCGATATGTAGCAACCTCAACGTGGTGAGACCACCAGGGCAATCATTATCATTTGTGATACAATTACTAATTGCATTACTGCGATACAATTATGAATTATATAACAAATAATATGAGCTAATCGGCTACGATCACGTTCGTGATCGATTTAGTTTTCATGTTCAATTAAAGGATTTGCTGAGTTATTAGGAAGGTCGTTGATTTCTAAAATTATAGATTGAATTTTTTTAACGATAACATATAGTGCATTTTTAAATATTATTGAAGACCGTAGACTTTAGATCCTGATGGATATTTCAAAACATATGATTTGATAAAATGATAGACTTGTTCTGTGTCCTCTTTTTGATTAAATATCCATTTTAAATATATTTCGTCCATGAATATATTTCAATAAAAAAATCCTATTGTTATAAGTATGGATTTTATCGTTTTCAATGGAAAATCAATCGATGAATTCGTAAAACACGAATAGAGCTCTTGCTGACACACACATAAATACAAACATAATAAAAACTGGAATAATTTTAGATACTAATCTCGCGTTTTAGAATCTGGACATACAATTAAACATTTCTCTTGTATTATTTTACTTGGTATAGTCACAAATGAGCTTCACATTTCGGTATTGAAAGTTTGACCTATTGTAATGAAAAAAATCATATTGCTGGCGCATCCACTAGTTCCCCAACTCACCGTTATTAAACGTAGAGTGCGCTAAAGTAGCAGTGATTTTTTCCTCGGTCGGTATTTCAGACTCAGAGACACAAAATCCCATTTCATGTCCGATCTATTCTATTTTTCATAGTCAATGGTATGATTAAATGATACATGAACGATGTATGAAATTGATGCATGGAAAAAATAACCATGATATTTCAATGTTTGATAAATAAAGAAAATAGAAAATTAAATGTAAGCTTTTGAATTTTGATTGTTGATATGTATTTACTGCAAGTAATTAACTAAAGGAGAAAAAGAAATTATTTTCTAAAAAGAAAGCATAGACAGATGTTTCTGAACAATCTGACTTACATGTTAGATGTATTGTCTGGTATTTTATGATGGAAATTAACAGAATAGTAGAGTAATGTTTGATTATATCAAGTTTTTATTTATTTTTTTTCCTATGCAGTGCAACTTTGATAATTTCCTAAATTAAATATAATTTTCTACAAGCATGAACAACGAACTATCCACGTGTCGTATATTATTATATAACTTCGAACTCTGTAATCCTGTATCTACATATAATTCTATTTGCTGACTACGTTCACAGAAACAATGTTCATAACAATTGGAAACAATTTACAATACACGTGTAATTTATCTTAATTGCCTATAGAAACGAATTCTATTTAATCTCGCGCGGTGATCATGTCATCGCACGGATAGTTTTCATTCTGATTTTTTACTGAATTCTCAGGCGTCTCGACGTTAGGGCTTTTATCAATATCGCTGTCAGAAGACGAGGTATCTTGAGGCAATTCGATACCTTGCGTTAAAAGATTGGTTATCCTCTCCACGTCCACTGTATCATCTTGTTCGTGTATCTTTCTCAGGGCATTTGAGACGATACACAGGTCACCCCTAAGTTCACTGACCACTGCCGTGATTTTCTGAGCATCCGTGAGAACTTCCACTGATTGTGTATAGGGATTATAGCGTAATCCAAATGGACGTTGTATTTGATTCGCAAAAGCTCTAAAAGCATAAATTCATATTCCGTTCAATTCCTCCCTTCCCTTTCTGTAATGATATTTATAATAATTTTGGAAAACCAGAGTTTCCACAACGACACAATCGTGCACGGAATTACCGCATTTTTTCTTTCGCCTCTTCGAAGCTATCCGTGTAATAATACGCATTTTGGAACGCAGTGATGATGCATTCCTGTTTGCAAGTCACTTCTGGGTCGAATCGGAACGTTTTCCCGGGCACGGAAACTGCATGTTTGAGTTCCGCGACGGAAGACAATAAACCAGCGCCGTAGACACGAAGTATGCCATCTTGCTTGCATAATCCAAATTCCACAGTGAAGAAATAGAGCTAAAAGACAAAAGACTCGGATACAGCCAATGATCTTTTACAATCGATGCTTGAAAACGTGTTTAAAATATAAACTGAATTAATTTTATTTTAATAAATTTTATTCTCATTCAGTAGATATCAATTCCTCCGGTACAGAGTTCTTTCGCGGTCGTGAAATAAGTTTGTCTAAATTTTCGATGAGACCGAGGTACTACCCGCAGCATGGAACACTTACGGTTGCCAATTTATTGATGTCTTCGTCCGAAGCTCCGAGCGAAGCGAGTCCAAGTTCTTGCGAGAATTGGGCGAAACTTGGATTCGCTAGAAGCGGCATGTGCCCCAACAATTCGTGGCAGCAGTCTCTGTAAATAATACAAAAGAGTTAAAAGAAACGGGAGAGAAGAAAGGAAACCGTTAAGAAAGAAAATGAAAGAATTGAAAGTATCGTGTGCTTGTGTCTTTCATCTATTTTTCACTTTTCCTATATTATAATATAGCATGATTGTTTCTATCGTTTCGATGTTGCGTTTCTCAATTATTACTCACGGTTCAGGTGTGTAAAAGGGATCGGACGAGTGTCGAATGTATTGCGTACAGTGGAACACGCGAAAAGCAAGGCCGGCCAAAAAATCTCTCGGTGAAAGGTAACCTGCTACGGGTCGAAGTTGAAATCCAGTTGTTCCTAATCGTATTGCAGGCAAATTGTATTCTTCATTCTTTTCATACTAATTTTTTTACTATCATTGTACATCGTACACTTACGCTTCAAGAAAACATTGACATCTTGCAATTGTGGTATGTTGTCCTCTCTGTTAATCAAATATAAAATTTATCTTGTTTATAAAATTATAATTATATGTAATATAATGTATAATTATATTATATACGATATATATAATAATTATTATATGTTACGCTTCAAGAAAACATTGACATCTTGCATTTGTGGTATGTTGTCCTCTCTGTTAATCAAATATAAAATTTATCGTGTTTATAAAACTATAATTATATGTAATATAATATATAATTATATTATATATGATATATATAATAATTATTATATGTTACGTTTCAAGAAAACATTGACATCTTGCATTTGTGGTATGTTGTCCTCTCTGTTAATCAAATATAAAATTTATCGTGTTTATAAAATTATAATTATATGTAATATAATGTATAATTATATTATATATGATATATATAATAATTATTATATGTTACGCTTCAAGAAAACATTGACATCTTGCATTTGTGGTATGTTGCCCTCTTTGTTAATCAAATATAAAATTTATCTTGTTTATAAAATTATAATTATATGTAATATAATGTATAATTATATTATATATGATATATATAATAATTATTATATGTCACGCTTCAAGAAAACATTGACATCTTGCAATTGTGGTATGTTGTCCTCTCTGTTAATCAAATATAAAATTTATCGTGTTTATAAAATTATAATTATATGTAATATAATATATAATTATATTATATATGATATATATAATAATTATTATATGTTACGCTCCAAGAAAACATTGACATCTTGTAAGTGTGGTATGTTGTCCACTCTGTTAATCAAATATAAAATTTATCGTGTTTATAAAATTATAATTATATGTAATATAATATATAATTATATTGTATATGATATATATAATAATTATTATATGTTACGCTTCAAGAAAACATTGACATCTTGCAATTGTGGTATGTTGTCCTCTCTGTTAATCAAATATAAAATTTATCGTGTTTATAAAATTATAATTATATGTAATATAATATATAATTATATTATATATGATATATATAATAATTATTATATGTTACGCTCCAAGAAAACATTGACATCTTGTAAGTGTGGTATGTTGTCCACTCTGTTAATCAAATATAAAATTTATCGTGTTTATAAAATTATAATTATATGTAATATAATATATAATTATATTGTATATGATATATATAATAATTATTATATGTTACGCTTCAAGAAAACATTGACATCTTGCAATTGTGGTATGTTGTCCTCTCTGTTAATCAAATATAAAATTTATCGTGTTTATAAAATTATAATTATATGTAATATAATGTATAATTATATTATATATGATATATATAATAATTATTATATATTACGCTTCAAGAAAACATTGACGTCTTGCATTTGTGGTATGTTGTCCTCTCTGTTAATCAAATATAAAATTTATCGTGTTTATAAAATTATAATTATATGTAATATAATGTATAATTATATTATATATGATATATATAATAATTATTATATATTACGCTTCAAGAAAACATTGACGTCTTGCATTTGTGGTATGTTGTCCTCTCTGTTAATCAAATATAAAATTTATCGTGTTTATAAAATTATAATTATATGTAATATAATGTATAATTATATTGTATATGATATATATAATAATTATTATATATTTATATATAATAATTACATATAATTATAAAATTGATTGCGTTCATACTACGACTTAATTTCATTCTCAGAAATATCTTTACCTATAGCCGCAATACTTGACCAGCTTCGGCCAGTTTTCCAAATACTCCTTGCAAGCGTGTTTCTGATAAAGTTGATGCAACTCACGAAAAACTGTTCCCCTGAAGAAATCGAATGTTTATTCATCGACAAGCTTTGACGATATGAAATTGTAAATTTACAAATATTGCCGCGCGATATTTCATTATTGTCAAATGTTGCATTATCAAATTTGCAAACCAATCTGCGTTAAAAGTTTTAGATCTTTCAACTAGTCGGGATTATTTATCCGCGCTTCTCTTGTAGACACTCGGAGGAAATCGTATTAGAGAAGTCACTCGAAGATCGTGAGGATAAACTAAATAAGGACAATTAAGGAGTGCATTCAGCGCGAGGCAATCTTGGCTGGTTCGTACGTCGCGGCGGCGGGGTATGGAAGCGGAACTTTTCCTGTTATATTGGCAGAACTTGGATAGGATAGGTCCCGTAATTGAAGGAAAATGTTTCGATGATATCGAAACGATCGTTCCTTCTTCGTCATGGATTGCCTTCGTGTTTATCAAAGCACGTACGAAGACCCTCCCCTCGTAACGAGCGAAACGTCTTTTATCAAGAATTTCGTACGAACGAAACCTATTTGTTATTATTGAGATAATTCCACGACATATTTCAACATTTAACAAGGCGTGTTTTAAAGTTTAATTTCAACACGTTTTCGGAAACGCGAGACGAAGTGAAATATAATTTACGAACCATGTTCTGATCTCTTCCGATGTATACTGCACGCGCGGGATTGGTTGGCCACTGAAAGAAAATTGGTGTCAGTAATGTTTTTTTTTTTTTTTCGATGTCGTGTTTTTTTCTTTTTCTTTTTCGTAATAAATCATTGACTTGCAACGTACTATCTGTAACTGTTCGCAATATCCGCGAATTGTACACGACGTTTGCGATACACCGGGTCTTTGAAGCCCTAAAACCGATGAATTAAACTTGTTACACAATGTTGCATACATTTGGGATACTAACGAAAGAAAGTGATAGTTGAAGAGAGAGAAAGAATGAATCATACCGGATGATCTGCATCCAATTCAGATCCGTACATGAGCACGTTTTGAGCCTGATCTAGATCCGATATTTTTCGTGGAAACCAGGGCATATCTACTTCACTGAAATCTATAAATCTCCGACGTGAGAGTACAGTAAAACGTTTTTCATTTCGAGAATGATTTTTATAGGAAATTTAATGAAATTGATCGAAAGTATTCAACTTGAAATCGTCTTCAGGAATTCACCGCGTGAAATTTTAAATTCGTAGCGAAGAAGTTGGAGATTAGAACAGATAGAAGCTTCGATCGAATTGAAGACGATTATTTCACCGCGAAGGAAGATTTAGAAATGAAAGGGGAACGAACTTACCAAAACTTGGAGCTGCGGAAAGTGACGGAGCGTGAGGAATATTTCCTGTTTGCTCGTACTGTGCCAAATTAATAGCAGCAACTTCTCGGCTCAACATCCTTGTCAGCTGTTCCATTCTTTTCGAATCGCATTCGACGTCAACGAGGATCTCGAATTCGGAACCGCGACGCAACGACTTCCGCGACTCGATGTGAATAACATTCACGCCCAGATCCTACGTGAAATGTTAATCAGAAAAAAGAAAAATATATATATTTCTACTTTGGTATACATAGCAGACAACACATTTAAAAGATGCTAATAGCGTCCATCGACATTTATAATAATTCTATAGTTAGCAAATGATCAAATTTTGTTTCTTTTTTTTCTTTTTCCCAAAGAAGCGTGTTCCTGTCACATTTTTATTGAAAATAACTATCCAAATTATGTTTAGATAGTTATTATTTACATGTGTTTGAAATGATATATGATCTTTTTCCAAAGTATATGTTCTTGTCACATTCTTATTGAAAATAACTATCCAAATTATGTTTAGATAATTATTATTTACACGTTTGAAATGATGTATGATCTTTTTCCCAAAGAAACGTGTCACATTTTTCTGGAAAAAAACTATTCAAATTATATTTGGATAGTTATTATTTACATGTTTGAAATGATATATGATCTTTTCCCAAAGCACGTGTTCCTGTCACATTTGTATTGAAAATAATTATCCAAATTATGTTTGGATAGTTATTATTTACATGTGTTTGAAATGATATATGATCTTTTCCCAAAGAAACATGTTCCTGTCACATTTTTCTGAAAAATAACTATCCAAATTATGTTTGGATAGTTATTATTTACATGTTTGAAATGATATATGATCTTTTCCCAAAGCACGTGTTCCTGTCACATTTGTATTGAAAATAATTATCCAAATTATGTTTGGATAGTTATTATTTACATGTTTGAAATTGTATATGATCTTTTCCCAAAGAAACGTGTTCCTGTCACATTTTTCTGAAAAATAACTATCCAAATTATGTTTGGATATTTATTATTTACATGTTTGAAATGATATATGATCTTTTCCCAGAGAAACGTGTTCCTGTCACATTTTTATGAAAAATAACTATCCAAATTATGTTTGGATAGTTACTATTTACACGTTTGAAATGATATATGATCTTTTCCCAAAGAAACGTGTTCCTGTCACATTTTTATGAAAAATAACTATCCAAATTATGTTTGAATAGTTATTATTTACATGTTTGAAAGATATATATTTACATTGTCAAACATCGTACCTGAAAAACTTGCAGTGCCCGTGCCAAACCACCGACTTGGTTTTTTAAAGAAAAGACAACGGAATTTTTGTTGTCGTTGTTCGATTTGTGCTCGACCATGGGGATCTGAACGAACGAGAGAACATATTTATGCGTTACGTCAGGCTTCTACAACATGCTCAGCTATATTCTTTCTTTCTTTACAGTTATTCAGTTCAATTTCTTTTTCTATGCTGCTTTCGATCAATCATGATCTTACAAATGAAATGTATTTGCATAACAGCTCAAGGAGGCCGGTTGAAAAGTTTCGCGCCAGTTTGAAACAGCGTAGCTTTAAAGGATTTGACGAGAGGGGAAGAAGAAAACTGATTGAAAAGAAGAAAAGTGATTTTGCCACAACAAAAGTTATTTTCCAAAACCAACGCACATCGCTCGGCTTGTGTATGGGGCTTCCTTCTTTAATGGCCCAGTGTTCACCTCTTCTGTATAGCCACACCCCAAGAAGGCCTTTTCCGGAACCACTCATAATGATCGTCGTTTCCAACTAAAAGAACTTAATTAATTTTTCAATTCGAGTATCTTACGTATATTTCAATACACAGAGTGAGAATCCTTTTCGTCCGACGCTCCGTTTTCGGGAAAATCAACTCTTTTTATCCAGCACGTTTATCTAGATTTAAGTAACGCTCGACTTACCGGTTTCATCTCCTAACAAACTAATGTTGTTTACGTTTATACAGAAACTAATGTTCGTCAGAAATATACTTAATAAAAAGAGCACGATTATGTATTGAACGCGGTGAGAAACATTTCTAAAGTAATAAAATTTCAACGCTTTCGCGTTGGAAATATTTATAAACGAAAGTATTGATAACAATGTTAGTTTGTTGGAAGATAAGATTGGAAGTAAGAATAAGGACACCAATCGACGATTATAGATATTTCTACTAGATTGGTGCACGTGAAGTGTCGTTTTGGTAATTTAAACTCTTCAAACTATCACTGACGAATTAATTTCAAATTTACAAAGAGAATCATTTAGCTTTGATATTCTTGATTGCTGACGTGTCGTGACTGTATCAAAAAAAAACTCACTTAGCGAAAACTGAAGAAGTTTTAAAAAAAAAAAAGAGATAGTTCTAATCACGTAGTGGTATCGTGTGGCAAACCGATTAGTAGAACAAAACTTTACGTTTGCCAAGAATCTGTACAGATTGTTTAAAGAAGTTCAGACTACAGTGGCGAATCTTGCAGTGGCGAATGATCAATTTGGCCTCCCTTGCCTCTGAATCGCGATCACATATCAATTTTATCGAGGGTCTGACGATTTACGTGCGACACTTTCGATTTATTTCTGTATACGAATCTCTCCTTCTTCAACGCGGCTGACAATTGCAACAACTGATAAATTGAAACATCGAAGAGACGAGGGTTTCGTATGCACCAACCTAATAATATTACAAGTATCAAACTTCGACAACACCAGACAAACTCGGGATTAGCAGTGAATCGTCCCTCCAAGGACCGCGAGCAACAGTGTCCCGGTACCAGTGTCTTCGGCTCTTCTTAAGACCTCGGTCCCCTCCGTCTACGCGTTCATCTCAATGACGATCTGTTCGCGATTGGTCGACGCACAGTAGTACGAAGTTCCCTCATTGGTCGGATAAGACTTTCCATGGGGTTGAAGAGGAGTGTTGGCTCACCCCATTTAACGGTAACTGTACCGGTTCTAGAATGTATTCCTTGTGACGTCACTGGAGTTCACGAAACGTGGGTGGTGCAAGAACTGGCGGCGATGAACGGGAGAGAACAGATTGCAAGGTCTTCGAGACGGGGATGTCATTCCTTTTTCTTCCTCTCTTCTTTTTTTTTTCTTCTTCTGTTTTTCGAAGGCCCCTCGCCATTCTCCAACGATTTCTCCTCTTCGACAACGCGCCCCTTCTTCTTCGGGTTTCTGGGCCAAGTGAAATTAGTCTGCCATGGAAATGGCACGGATCCCACCATCGATTTACCGATTCCGTGCTTTCCTGCGTTCGTTTGGCAACCCGTGGTTATTCTCCTCGACTTTGACCGTTCTTTGTAACAATCTTTTCCAAGACCTTTCTTTCTTTTTTTTTAAGGTACTTTCTTTCTTCGCATAAATATGTATCAAGGTTTGTCTGTTTGTTACATTTACAGTTGAAAAAGCTCGAACAAATTTTATTAATATATAATATAGTATAATATAGTATTTATTAATATATAATAAAGTATAATATAGTATTTATTAATATAGTAGTATATAGTATAATACTATTTATTATTATAGTGTTATATAGTATAATATACTATTTATTATTATAGTATTATATAGTATAATATAGTATTTATTATTATATAGTATTATATAGTATACTATACTATTTATTATTATAGTATAATATAGTATTTATTATTATATAGTATTATATAGTATAATATACTATTTATTATTATAGTATTATATAGTATTATATAGTATATAATATGCTATTTATTATTATAGTATAATATAGTATTTATTAAATTATATAATAAATTTATATTTAATAGGTATTATATATTATATACTCTAATAATGATATATAATTACACTGTTATACTTAGAGAACACTTGAACATTACTATTTTATATTAATATAATACATTGCAATAATACACAAATGATACACACATGACAAACACATTGCATATAACGTGCATAAAGGAGACACAACTGAAATTATAATAATTCAAGTGGAACGACAGGTTTATGATGTACAAAAAATAAAAAAAAAACATTCAGCGATTGTCCCAATACTTGCGACAGCGATTAAAAAAAAAAATATCGCGCAATTTATTAATATTTGCAAACTGAATTCAATATGTCGTATTAGTGAAGCAACATCACGTAATGTGAGCTACATACCTAAATGGAGAAATACCACCTAAATGGAGAAGTGTTTAATCTCCTTCGGTAAATTAAATTTTTCTTTTGTCCTTTCGTTTCTTTTTCGATGGAGGCAATTGTTCTCGCTTTTGTATATCTTTCCTGCAGGACAAAGGGAGGTGTTTAATAAAAGCTCGAACGTTTCTCCGCCTTGTGGCAAAGCAGATGCAGCACATTACCAATGTCCATCACTTACCACTATCAGCTATCACCCTTCTTGAATTCTACCGAGCGTTTCTCCGGCATTAAGAGAATTGAGAGTATTCGATCGGCGGAGAGAATCTTTCGTTTATCGTCGCGTCTACCAAAATCACTAAATCGTTGCTCGGAAATATCGTTTGGAATGTGCGTCTTTTGCAAGGATCATTGCTTGATTAATGCGAAGATTAATTAATAGTGAGTAGTAAGTAGTAAAAGTCTTTATTTCGACTCCGCAGCCAAGAAATGTGGACTCGGTTTACAAATTACTATTTTTCTTTTTTCACTCGCTCCTTTCGCTCATTCGTTCATTCTTCCTTTTTTTCTATTTAATTAATCTGATTTAAATCCTAACGAAGATTAATTAATAGATAAATTAAATAATATATTTTTCCAACTGGGACAATCGGTTCCGTTCGATGACGTTCTGTTGTTTAGTAAACTTATTAATACGAGAAGATTGAAATTGAGCAGAGTTTTAGTAAGAACATTTTCGAATACTCTACTTTCTGCAGAAGTGACTTTTGTGTTGTTTTTATACATAACAAGTGAGTCACATTTTTAACTAATTATTACTAATTAGTACAGTGAAGACTATTTGAGAAATTTTCTTTCCCAGAACAGCAGCAAATGTAAGTACACATATATTTGCGATATTAAAAAAGACTGACGTTCTAACGTTAGTGTAAATACTTGCCACGTTTATGTTAATTATAGTAGCTAGACAGAGTAGGCTAGTGTAACTGAAAAAAGAAAATTGTTATGTTATAATATCAGCATAAATACTTGTTTCTGTTTCACGCTAAAGCAGATCTCTGTACTCGATAAAAATTTTACCTTCGAGTTCTTGTCGTGCATTGAATCGGCGTGAATCTGTGAAAACCAATTCGACTAAAACTAATTATCGTATTTCATCTATCCTTCACCCGCATTGCGAAATTCACTATCCATTCACAGAGATTCTATAAAACGCGATGTCTCCGTATCTTGCTCTCGTCCTTTGAGAGAACCCAAGTTCAATATTTGTAATTTGTTTCTATTGTATTACTAATAACTTTAAAGCCAAGATATCGTTGAACGACAAAAATACGAATTGGAGCTTTGCTGTTAGGGGAACGAAACCAAAGAATTTTTCAAAGATCTTTCAAGGATGACACAATTATAACAACTTCCGAGCTTGTTTTCCAATCAAATTGGTCGATAGCCCTTCTTTTTTACTTTTTCTGCTATCGGGATCTATAAATATGCTTTCTTGAAAAGGTTAGCGAGCCATGTGCACATATATCTCGTCTTTGCGAACCTTTCAATTAACTTACGACAAAAGTGACAGACAGTTCTCTTTAAATGTCAATCAAAATCAATTGAATAAAGCTGATCTCTTATAAAACAATACAAGTTTTTACACTTGTCTTGAAATATTGAAAGTGTACATTCAATATTTACGTAATATTGTTAAACATAATTCGAATTTTATTCGTTTCATTCATGTAATACAAATTTAATCGTCCCTTGAGAAAGGTTGGGTTTGCGAACTGGGTCACTTACGTTCAATCTTTTTACTGTTCTAGGCTTTCATAGAGTTTGAAGAAAAAAGAAACTTGTGAAATATACATCAAATACTACATCACATTGCAATCATATGTATATATTAGAATCAAACGTTTTCGAAACGATTAAAATCCCCGCTGAAAGTGAAAATTCTTCTCGTAGAAATTCAAGGGTGAAGTTTCGCTTGGGTTAGTTTGCTTACGGAGGGTTAATCATCAAAACCAGTCCCTTTAACCCTGGACCACTTTCTGATGAAACGCTGAATCGCGAAAAGAAAAAGAAGGAACGATGTAGTTTCGAGTTTGTTGAATTCAATTCGTTTGCTTCAGCATTTAAAATTGAACGAATCGGAAAGATTTAAAAATTACCTACGTTCAATCTTTTTACTGTTCTAGGCTTTTATAGAGTTTGAAGAAAAAAGAAACTTGTGAAATATACATCAAATACTACATCACATTGCAATCATATGTATATATTATAATCAAACGTTTTCGAAACGATTAAAATCCCCGCTAAAAGTGAAAATTCTTCTCGTAGAAATTCAAGGGTGAAGTTTCGCTTGGGTTAGTTTGCTTACGGAGGGTTAATCATCAAAACCAGTCTCTTTAACCCTGGACCACTTTCTGATGAAACGCTGAATCGCGAAAAGAAAAAGAAGAAGGAACGATGTAGTTTCGAGTTTGTTGAATTCAATTCGTTTGCTTCAGCATTTAAAATTGAACGAATCGGAAAGATTTAAAAATTACCTACGTTCAATCTTTTTACTGTTCTAGGCTTTCATAGAGTTTGAAGAAAAAAGAAACTTGTGAAATATACATCAAATACTACATCACATTGCAATCATATGTATATATTATAATCAAACGTTTTCGAAACGATTAAAATCCCTGCTGAAAGTGAAAATTCTTCTCGTAGAAATTCAAGGGTGAAGTTTCGCTTGGGTTAGTTTGCTTACGGAGGGTTAATCATCAAAACCAGTCTCTTTAACCCTGGACCACTTTCTGATGAAACGCTGAATCGCGAAAAGAAAAAGAAGGAACGATGTAGTTTCGAGTTTGTTGA